AAAAGGAATTTGTCCCATGTTTTCTCCAGACGGCAGGCAAGCTGCATGCTGCGTGTGACCTAGAGGATCCCCCATCCCTAGATATAACCTCTACTCTCGTATAACAATTTTTAAACATGAGATTTTGAATATTTTAAACTTTTTTTAACTATCTTCATGACTTCATCATTTGATTATATGATAATGATGTTTGATTTGATAAATTTTGGGCAAATTGTGAAAAAATACAACTTAATTAAAAAAATGAACAATATACTCTTTTTATTGCAAATATATCCACCCATTCAATATTTATTTGCTACAAAAGAAAAATATCTCATATATACCGAAATTACGCGTAACGTTTTAAAATCGTAATTTATCCTCAAATTTCATGATTTAAATCTTAATTTAGTCTCAACATCACCAATTAATCAATTTTGAGTGTCACATTTATTAACTTTTTTTTCCTTTTCGAAAATTTATTTAATCTGAATTTGTTTTCCTGTCTAAGACTTGGCCAAGTGAATTTTAGCATACTCAAATAAGTTAGGCGGATAAGACTCAAGAAAATATATCATCAATTTATTTCGCACTAAATGTATCATTTGGTGGTTATTAAACTATCTTAATGTAAGAGACTACAATAATCGAAGCTCAAATATAATGATTGAGAATGTGGGTGAGTGTGCAATAATTATTTGGCAGTGAAAATAAATAATTATTAAAAAATAATTAATATAATTATTTGAGGATTTAATTATAATTTAAGTTTAATTGATTGATACAAATTTTCTTACTTTATCCGCTAGTCCATCCCTTACGAGAACTAAAAAATATATACTTATTTTAATTAAAGATGATTATAAAAGAGCCTAGCCCATAACCCTAAAATTAATAAAAATATTAACTAACAAGTAAAAATTAAAGTTTAATGATATAGATTGTAAATGATATTGTGGAATTACTTGGAAATCACATGAGATGTAGACTAAAGCTTCTTTTTTTAAGCATAATTTCCTGACTAACCATCTTTTTATTTTAGGTTTAGGGGGTTATATCTTTTTCGCCAAGAAGTCTATCCTTTTAATATGTATTATAAATAAAAGAAAAACTAATGTACTCCCTCCTTCCCTCAATAGTTGTCACTTTTGGTAGTTGCACATATATTAAGAAATTCAATAAATATGCATAGATAATAACAAAAAGTATAGTAAATCACTAAAATGCCCATGCCATTAGTTAATTTTTAAATAATTATAATTCAATTAATTATGAGTGAGAAAGGGCAAAATTGAAAAATTGCAATTAATTATTCATTGGAATAGTAAAATGACAAATAATTTGAAATATGAAAAAATGGCAAAAGTGACAAGTATTGAGGGAATGAGGGAGTATATCACAAAATTACCTCTAACTCTTTTACACCAAATTTGTAATTGTAACCCCAATTTAATTAATTTTAACCCCAAAAATTCAATTTTGACTTTTTTAAGTAAACAAAATTCTGAAATTATTTTTATGCCGCCGGTTTCTAACGAACATTTTTTTTTCTGCTTTGTCCTCCACCGGTTTCAAGCGTGGACCGTCGGTCTCCGGCGTTGACTTTTTTAGTGTTTTTTCCCCAAAATATTTATACTTTTTTTTTACGTCCGTCGCTAAACGTTGACCGTAATTGCACTGTCATTAATAGTAATTATATTGTTACTGACAGTACATAAACGTAATTGTACTGTCGTTGAAGGTAGATTAACGTAATTGTACTGTCGTTGACATTACATTTATGTAATTGTATTGTCGTTGACAGTACAATTACAGTTATCGACAATATTATAATTTTTTTGGCTTTTATTTATTTATTTTGTTTGATTTGTTAACAAGTCAACGTAATTATATTACTTTCGTTAACGTTAAAATAACTGTAAATACAATAATATTACTGCCGATTACATCAATATTATTTTTTTTGGCTCTTTTGTTTTGTTTGAATTGTTGACGGATTAACGTTATAGTATTACTGTCTACCATTGTAATATTACTTTAAACACAATAATATTAATGTGGTTGACGGTAATATTACTGTTGTTACAGTAATATTACTGTGGATGACAATAATATTACTGTGGATGACTTTTTTGTTTTTATTATGTTTACCATTGTTGAACGGTCAACATATTAATATTAGTCTATTACACAATAATAATGACTTTCATTGTGTTAATATTATTGTGCTAGAGATTAATATATCATTATTACTGTGTTACATTGTAGTATAGTTGATATTACTGTGTTTTACAGTAATATAGTTAATATGACTGCCAACCACATAAATACTGTTATTTAAACGGTGCAAAAAGATGTTAAATAAAGAAAAATAAATAAATAAGTCATCGCCGATAGAAGCAGGAGAAAAAAACAAAACAAAACAAAACAAAAAAAAGATGGATAAAATCAACACCGGAAACCGGCGGAAAAATAGGAAGAAAAAAAAAGTCAACGTTGGAGACCAGCGGTTAACGGCGACGACAAGCAAAATTGTACACAAAATTGAGTTTTGGGTCATAATTGAATAATTTTTGTAATATGAAGTCAAATTAATTAAAAAATAAAATTGAGCATATTAAAACGTGATGGACTATTTTAGTGTATACAATCAGATTCTTAGACCACACAACCAACTGCCAGATTTCGACATAGCTCTTACAAATGTACAAACAATTAAACAAATTAGGGAAGAGACACATGAAAAATGCTGCTTCAAACCTACGACTTTTTTAGCCGATCACGATGACAATGATTGCTCCCTTTCTCTCTCTCTCTACCCTTCTGTATTTGACTTGGCCAAGTCAACTCCCTCTAATTTCTCTCTCCTCTTACTTTCCCCCATTTCTTTGAAGTATCTTCTTATTATCTTATATATATATACAAACATACAAGAATTTGCATTATCATCACAGCTGAGCCACGTCTCTGTTTACTGATTGGGCCAGGGGGAAAAAAGGGGATTAACTTAATTAATTCTCTTTGTCTTTTTGTTTGGGTTCATTTTTGTCCGTATAGAGTAGTAATTAATGAACATGTGTTTTAGGAAATCGGTATTTGGGAGTTGTCTGATTCTAATAGCGTTTGCGTGTTGGTTTAATGCGAAGAGCGGCGAAGCATTTGGTACGTTCGGATTCGACATCCACCACAGATATTCCGACACTGTTAAGGAATTCTTGAACCTTGATGGGTTGCCGGAGAAAGGCACCGTTGACTACTACTCCGCCATGGCCCACCGCGATCATCTCTTCAAGGGCCGCCGCCTCGCCACCACCACCACCGACAGCCAACCCATCACTTTCTTTGGTGGCAACGAGACATACCGGATCAGCTCTCTTGGATTGTGAGTTACTCGCTTGTGCGCATTTCTAAAAGTGTTTTACTCTCTCTCCTAAATCCTTTATGAAATTAGAAAGCCTTTCGTGGTTCTTAGTCGCTAATTATGCTAATTTAATTAACTATCTTGACTTGGATATCGATTTTAGTTATTCTGCTTCGGCTTTGTTTGGTTCATGGATTTTGAAACGAAGAAAATGAAAATGCAAAAGCAAATGAAAATAAAGAATTTGAAAATTCCATGTATGTTTGGTTCTCAAGTAAAAAAATGATGAAAATGATTTTTAGAGGGAGGAGGAGAGAGACGACGAACAGGGGAGGAGAGAGACAAGAGAAAAAGGTCATGGGGACGACCGACCGGCGGATTTTTTCCCTACATTTTCCTCTAAATTACTTTACCTAACATTTTACTTAAATGAATTTACTTAATATTATGTCCTTCTTATATTTGCAGCTTGCACTATTCATTTGTTACTGTGGGTACCCCTCCGGTGGAATATCTTGTGGCACTCGACACAGGCAGTGACCTATTCTGGTTACCATGCGACTGCACTACTACCTGTTTGCGTAGCTTTAACATCAGTTCCGAAGAGGTACATTAAATAGTAATTTCAGTTATGTCATTGTCTTGAGAGCCTACGTATTGTCTTTGTCGCCTTTGTCTAAATCTCCAATCTGCTCTTATTTAAAAAATTTCGACGCAACAGACGTTGAAGCTAAACATATACAGTCCCAGTACATCGACATCTAGTGTGCCAGTTCCATGCAATAGCACTATTTGTGTCCGACCACAAAGAGGATGCTCTGTTCGGCTCAATGCTTGTGCTTACCAAGAATTATACCTCTCCGCCAACACCTCAACCACAGGCATATTAGTTGATGATGTTTTGCATTTGGGTACAGATACCGATCCACAAGAACCCATCGATGCCCCAATCACATTAGGGTGAGGGTGCTTTCTTTTCTAACACGAAAAGTATTTTTAAAATTAGAGTAAATAAATGGGTGCTAAATGCAATTATTGGAGATATATTCATTAAATGGCTCCCATCAGTAATAGATTAAGCTTTTTGGTCGAGGTGGTCATTTAACATGATATTAGAGTCAGACCAAATGATAAATCCTGTATTCGAATCCCACCGCCATCCATTTCAAATATTCCAACTACAAGGCTTTTTCATCACTAATAGCTTAAGTTTTTGGTTGAGGTGGTAGTTAAGAGCAATAAACCCCTTGTTTGATAATAAACTCTAATGAATTTTTTTCGTTTGTTTCAGATGTGGAATAATTCAAACGGGTGCTTTTGTGGATGGTGCTGCTATAAATGGTCTATTCGGACTTGGTATGGACGGTATATCCGTGCCAAGCCTTTTGGCTAGCAAAGGTTTTACATCAAATTCTTTCTCCATGTGTTTTAGCCGCGATGGACTTGGACGAATTCAATTTGGAGATAAAGGAAGCGCAGACCAACAAGTAACTCCATTTAATCTTCGACAATTATAGTAAGCATTAAAAACTACTTGTTAAAAAAGTTCCTCGTTCATTTTTTCCATTTTGATTTATTTTTCGATTTTTTTGGCAGCCCGAGTTATAATGTCACTGTGACACAAATTGTTGTGGGCGAAAATGAGACGGATATAGACTTCTCAGCACTGTTTGACACTGGCACGTCGTTTGCATACTTGAACGATCCAGCTTACTCGGTTATTGTACAAGGCGTAAGTTAGTTACATTATGTTGTTATATTCAATTTTGTCGTGTGAAAGTCTTGATTCTAATTAACTTTCTTTCTTTTGCAGTTTGATTCTCAAATAATCGAGCCACGTTATGTACCTCCGAGGAGAATTATATTCGACTATTGCTATTCGCTCAGGTCTGTTAAATTTGGCAATAAACTTTTTTTTTATTGATTGTGAATCCTTTTCGTCTCATGATTTCTATTCGCCTGCAGTGCAACTCAAAAGAGCTATAGCATTCCACGATTGAATTTGATAATGAAAGGTGGAGGACAGTTTTTTGTTAAGGCACCGACGTTTGTGATTCCGCGGGAGGTATCAGAGATTTTTACGGAATCGATTCTTTCTGAAGAAAAAATGCTAAGATATCTTCATTCGTAATATATGCAGGGGGGATATGCATATTGTCTGGCTATTGTCAAAAGCGAGGATATTAACATCATTGGACGTGAGTATTGGAAATATCGATCAGTTACTTGCTTGCTTGTCTCGATCGTCTCGAGTTAACCGCACGTGATATAAGTAAATTCAGCAAATAACAAAATTTTGGGTTGCATATTAATGAATGCCTTTGTTTCTTCTTGACAGAAAATTTTATGACGGGGTACCGCCTAGTCTTTGATCGCGAGGAGATGGTTTTGGGTTGGAAAGAAGCTAACTGTGAGTTGATTTCATATCTTTTTGCTTTTCATTCACTAGTAGATAAATGATTTTTTAATACGACCATTAACCGTAGCAAAAGGTGTCAAATTCGTAGTAAAAAGACTTCCGCTATGCATTTGTTACGAATTTGCCCTAGCTTGACAACAACTTTGTTACGGTAAACAGCCGTAACAAATACTTCTTTGCGCGAATCCTATCATTTACTACGACTCCCAAATTGTCGCGTAGTAACAAATACTTTTATAACGGCTATTTAATGTAGTAAAAAAAATTGTAGTAAAAAGTCATTTTTTACGAGCGATTCTTTACTAGTGTCCTGCATATAATCTATATAATTATCGATATATTGTTCAGGCTACGAGTCCATCTCATCCAACAGTACTCCACCCATAAACAAGGGAAGCCCCGTTAAAAGTCCTCCACCTTCGGTTTTCACACCGGAAGCCACTCATGATTCATCACCGCCACCACCACCACCATCACCAACAACAACAACGAGGCCACTTTTTGGAAACGGAAGTGGTGTTGCCGCCCGTTTGAGTTCCGTGACTACCGGACTTGTGATGGTCTTACTCGCCACTTTAGCTCTTGTTTAACCTCCTTCAATATTCTTTCTTCACTCGTCAGATTCTTACCTTGTACTTTGCATTGTTTGAGTCATTTGTTTGACGGTACATATACCACTGAGGACTTGGAATACTGTATCAATTCTTTTATGTGTGATTGCCTATATATGTACATAACACATGGTGATTTCAACTTCAATAATTTTTGTAACACTTATTTTTCCCGAAACAATTTGGGATGGTGATGGAGTATTCCGGATTTTCTTTTAAGTTTGTACATTTTTTGCCATTTTGTCATAAGACATGTATGCAATATTGTATAATTTCCATTTTCAGTTTTGTTGAGTTTGTGGCCCAAAGTGTAATTCTTAGTGAATTGGGGCCGATACTACTTTTTCTCTCGAGTAGCCCAATTAGCAGAGTCGGCTCAACCTATGGTCATGTGTCTTGACTCGGTCTGTGTTTAAGTGATACTTTGATCTTGATCCCCATATATTTGGTGCAATCGGTGACCACTCATTCCTGTTTTCTTCTCCAATCTGTGGTGATTGGTATGGGTTAGTGAGAGGGTGAGTTTGAGTGTTATACACTCTGAGAGGAGGATTTGAGTCTTGGTGAGTCAAATCGGCTGGGTTTGGGTAAAAGTAGGGTTTACTGGTTTGTGGTCTGACATGTGTGTTAGACACCTATTGGATCTGTCGTCAGTCGTCACTGTGTGTTACTGGGCGTGGGCTTGGATAACTTTCGAAATGATCTTTCTGTGCGCCGTAGCACACCATCTCGAATACTATTAGAATATTAGACTTATGTTTTTAATTAATTGACAAACAATCAATTAAATACATTGAATACCCTAGTGCATATTCTCCTAAAATGATAATATACTATTTTATTAATTCAATAATAAAATTATGTAGCTAAAAGCGAGACTTTTAGGCTCTGATTGGTTCATGGATTTTGAATTGTGGAAAATGAAAACGCAAAGAAAAAGGAAATCAAGTAATTTTGAAATCTCATTTATGTTTGGTTACAAGGAAAAAAGATGAAAATCATTTTTTTGAAAATCACTTTCTTTAGTTTTGTTTGGCAATTTCAAGAAAACTGTGAAAAATATAATGTATTCTTAGATTTTTTTTTTAATGAAATAGTAAAAATTAAAATTAAACCAATACAAATATCTGTTAATATCACAAAAAAGTACAAAACAATTTCTCCAAAAAAAAGAAAGAAATAAAAATTAAATAAATCCACTTAAAATAATAAAATATTAAAAAATAATAAAATAAATCTACCACCAAGGCACCCCGCAAACCACCCCACCACCACCACTCACGGCCCCAACTCTCACCACCACCAGCACCACTCACGCCCCCACCTCCACCACCCTAGCCTAGTAATCCGAATAAAGAAAAAGAAATTTGACACAAAAAAAGGAAAAAAAATTAGGTATGGCGTTATCATCCAATAAAAGACCAGCGGTTCCCATCAAGGCCGGAAAATTCCTGAATCAGATGGAAAATTGAGAGGTACAGTGGCGGAGCGAAGGTTTCCGGCGGCGGCGAAGAGGTTGCTGGTGGTCGTGGTCCAATTGAGAGTGAATACAGAGAGAGGATGTTGGTTGACGGCGTTGAGGGTCCGGTGGTGGTGGAGGTGGAGCCGACGGCGGAGGCAGGTGCGGTCGACGGCGGTCGACGGTCGGTGGGAATGACAGTGACGAATTGAAGAAATTGTGTGGATGTGGAGAACACCCGATCTCTTTTCCTAGTTTTCCTCGTTATTTTGGGGGAAAATGCATTTTCCCTATTTTAGGTTAAAAAAGTTTTCCCCTTTTCCTACAAATTACTTTACCCAGTATTTTACATTTTAACCAAACAAGAAAAGTAGATTACTTTGACTTTTCACAATTTTACCTACCATTTTCTACAAACCAATCATAGCCTTAGTCTACTATCCTAACATGATCAACATTGGAGTAAAAGATTACATAATTGGAAGAACTCGACTTCCATTTGTAAGTTAGAGCACGAAGGAGGTCTTGGAATTCAATCTCTCAAAGACACTAAGATTGCATGGAATCTCCGCTTCAAGGCAACTCTTTGTGGAGTCAGATGCTTCATCAAAAATACATTTGGAGAAATCATAATACTAATGTTGAGTGACCATCTCAACCAAAAGTTTAAACTGTTAGTGAAATATATTATTTAATATTAATATCTCCAATAATGCTCAGTTTCCTTAATATATGCCACAACCACTCATTTAAAATATTTCAAGTGCAAGGCTTCAAATACAATTCGCCTAGGTGTGTATGTTACATTTCACTAACAGCTTAAATTTTTTGTTGAGATGGCCATTTTGTAAATGTGAAAAGATATTATACGAAATTGATATATGATAAATAAGGGTATTATGAGTAATTTGAAATGTCACCATTTGAAAAATCAAAATAGAAGTACATTCAAAAAAAAAAAAAAAAAAAAAAAAAAGAAGAATGTAAAGTTTAGTAAATGTGGAAATGAGGCCTCTTATTTTATAATGGATTTGAAGTCAACTCCAAATAGCTGTACAGATCTCCCAATTAAAAATGTAATTAGACGACGACTTAGAAGAGAGAGCATTTTCCAATGCGACGACCCTATAAAGATTTTTGCCAGATTAGCATAATCTCTCATGTATGTGTTGACTTCGTACGCGCAGATTAAACAATGGATACATCATAATACATGAACTGATGCCCACACTACAACATTTTAGGGCTTTTGCGACGCTTTGTATTCCCGACGGTTTCAAAACCATCGTATAAAGTGCGTTTCTTGACGCTTTTGAATCTAATCTTGACACACAAACACGGTCAAGTAAAAGTAATTCTTGACGCTTTTAAAAATATTCTCGACGCTTAAAAACCGTCAACAAAAATAAATTATATAATATATAAATTATTAACATCACTTTTTTCTCTCAATTTTTCATTTATAATCAGACCGATACAATCTCCCTCTAACCTTCGATTAGGGCTTTTCTATGAATAATAACTTCTCTTCGACGCCGTACCTCCGCCGCCGCGTTCGCCTCCACCTCCGCCTCCGCCATTGCCGCTAATGCCGAGCCGGCATCTCTGTTGCTACTTCTTCCCTCATGATCGAACTAATCATTGTGAAGACAAATTGAAAAAGGCGAAAATCTTTCAACTCTGCAGGTGTTTTGAATCACCCGTGGATTGCGTGACAGGTTAGTCTCCTCTGTTATTATTTTCCATTTATTTTAATTGATCTCATTCCATCCGTGTGGAATTCAGTATAGGAAGCTGACAAGTGATTTTTAGGTTAATTTGATTGCTTGAATTTAAGGGGTCAAGCTAGAATTTGAAACAAGAGTTTGCAGATTGTGAGAATCTATGACTTGATATTTTAGAATTTTACTTAATTACAGTTTGCTAATTTTCCATAGGTTTCAATTTTTGATTCTTCCAAGTTTTTTGTTTACTAGTGTTGTTAATTTCTCAGTTTGTGCACAATGACAATTTATTTTACTTACTTTTCTTATGATATCAATGATTGTGTTTTGAAGGATGCTTTCGAAGAATTTGGTTACCGAAATACTTGTGCAATCTTCCCCGAGACCAAAATGGTAAAATAAACCTATCTAGAACTCTTTAAGTTTGAGATTTGTTTAGAAAATCTATGTATCAAGCATGTATTATGATATAAAATCCCATTGATAATGTGCAAATTAATTTGGAGTTGCGGCTAAAAAATGGGATAGTATATACACCATGCTGGGAACTATTTGTCTACTGATTTAGCTCCGTTTCTTCATTTCAGTTGAGCAAAGAAAAGTATCAGCCACTGGAAGTTCACCTGTTTACTTAACGTACTAACGTCTTTTTCGTTACTTCTCTTTACTTATGGAAAGTGTACATTATTTGCAGACACTAAACAGATTCTCGTGTATAGCATTAGCTAGTGGCAACAGAGTTTCTGTATGGTACTGCAGAAGGAGGCCTTTCAGATATCAACACGGTTTCGTTTCCCTCCCAAGAACAATAATTTTTAATTTCTGATTATGGCTAAAAATATTTTTCAAGAAAGCTAACATTCCGAGAAATAGTTTCTCTATGCTTGATTATTCAAATTTTAGATTCATTTTTTCTTCATCAACTTCATTAGATTTCTCTCTCTGTGTTGTTTGTTAATTGTAGTTGCTGGATGGCAGAAAATATAGGCATTTTTTATGGCCAAGAAGAGCGGAAGCAATTAAGTCAGGTCTAACGCTAGCTTTTGTTGTTATTATGTTCATTATATAAACTCTGTTTCCTACTTGTCGTTCTAAACTCGTTTGCTCGGTTTATAAAAATTAAAGTCGGATTGCTTCGTAAATTTTTTGTTCCATTTTCCACATGTATCTGGATGTTTTTATATACAATGCTCTAACTATAGCACATGGTATGGTATGGTGACTTCTCCTTTTTTAAGAATCCCTTTTCTTCCTAGTTGTGCTGCAAATTATAAATGGTTGAGTTGATTATACCCTTAAAAATGATTAAACTCATTTTACATACATTTATTATGTGCAGGGAGGACTTGCCATGGTTCAGTTGTTGGAATGGTTTGATATATCTTACGCCATTTCAATATTTTTTCATAAATATATGATGAGTTAATTTTATCCAGCCTTGCTATCTGATTTCAAAATTTTTATGCCGACTGCTACTTTATCACTGAAAACTATATGATGAACTTTACAAATTAGGGGATTAAGATCAAAGATTGGCAGCAATAAAGGGCCTGCTCTATTGTATCGAAATGTTCTGTTTCACCTAGTAAAGTTATTGGATTGCTACTGACAATATGCCTATATCCAGGTATTCGTTTCTGCTAAATGTATTCACAGTATAAATAGCATATAGTATTTCGTTGGTTTTTTTATCCATAGTACAAGCTGTAGCTTTTACGATATAATGCAAGCGCAAGTTCTTGCATTGCAGCTCACTGGTATCTCTTATTTTGTAGGTTAGGTTAGCATCGTAATTGTGGGTTGCAACATTGTTTGCCGAATATCAGAAAAAATCTCAAAAAGACTTTCTTGTTCTCATTGTCATATGTGCTGAACCACTTTTTCTGGGGTTTTAGAATTTCATGGTCTTTTGCACAAAAAAAGTTGTATACAACAAGTTTTATAAGCTTTAGAAACATGAATTTTGCTTACTCAGGAACACTAACTTTTTTTTTTCTTCTTTGATTGTTCAGGAACACATTTTACATTGGAGCATGGGAGCAAGGACATTTTGTTGAACTAAGGATATGTAGACTTTGAAAGTAAATGTATTGTGTAGGTTACTTCAAGTGTTGTTTTGAAGATAGATTTTTTGAAGTTTGGTATTGTATATTTTTGGAAAGCAATAATTCATGTTTTGGGGAATCCGAGTGATTTTTAGCATGTGTTTATATTCGTATTGGAAAATTATACGAATTTTTGGCATGCGGTTAAATTTTTGTAAAGGTTTATTGTTTATGAAAAAAAATATTGAAAAAATATGTACCAGTATTCCCGACGGTTTTCAACAGTCGAGAAATGTATTCTCGACGGTTTTGAAAATATGTATGAGTATTTACGACGGTTATCATAGCGTCGAGAAATATTATTCCTGACGGTTTTTTTACACGTGAAAGTATATACGACGGCCTTTTTCTTGACGGTTTTGTGACGGTCGAAAACCGTCACGAATAATGTTCTTGACGGTTTTTTCACTTTTCCCGACGGTTTTTTTTCGTCGTATAAAGCCTTAAATGTTGTAGTGCCACCACTTGTTTATATTTGACTAAATCAACTATTTCATTTTTTATTGGGTAAATAGCATTAAACCACCTAAACTTTTTGAGTTTTTGCGGATCACCACCTGAACAATTTTTTTTTGCACAACTTCACCTATACTCAATTAATTGTGTCACTTTACCCTTTTTTGCCGGTTTGCAGGTCAAAATGACCTGTTCTCAACCCATGTACGTCGCACATGACAAATCCAAGGCTATTGACGTCTTTTCCATTTTTAAAATTGAATAAATGTTAAATAGAATAAATAAAAAAATTTTTTAAAAAAAAAGAAAAAAAAAAACAACAAAGGTCTTCGTCTTGTTCACCAGCCTTGTTCACCAGCAGATCCACCATAGCTACTACTGCTGCAATTTTATTTCCCCTAATCACCACCATCATCAGACCAACAACAACAAAAACGTCGCCATTTATTCGTCGGTAATCAGCCCTAATTTCACATAGCTCCTCCTCATAAACTCATCAAGGCCAACGGCGTTGGCGGCGGCATATCATATTCAACCATCCCACCCTACTCATCTAACTCACAACTTTCATCAACCATTTCTCTCATATTGCAGCCGCTCACCACCAGGAACCAGCTCTGCCCTCTTGCACAACCACGAAGCTCACCACCACCACCACCACATCTTCTTCAGATCCGCCGCCATCTTGACTGAAATTGGACCTAAAATTAGGTCTAAAATGTTCATTTAATTTCCCCCTTTACCCGATTGAGGTTATATGAACACTATTTTCTCTCGATTTCTTCCTCCGAATCGACTAGATCTTCTTCCAACGAATGGAGGATTAGATGAGATTCTCACAATTGAGGCCGCCCCATGCCGCGGCGGAGGTGTGCGGCGCTCGGCCGTGAGATCGGGTGTGCGCAGGTGGGCGGTGGGTGGTGAGATTGGTGCGACGGCAGTGGTAATCCTTGAAATTGTAGAGGCGAGAAAGTGTTTATGTCGGTGGTGGTTTGTTCGGAGTTTTCGGGCCATGGGTTCAAAATCCAGGCTGAGTTGCTGGGAACAAGATGACGTTTTACTTTTTCTTTTTCTTTTTTTAATTATTCTATTTAAGAAAATTCCATTTCAAAAAACAAAAATAAAATAAAATACATAAATTAAAATTAACATTTATTCCATTTTAAAATGGAAATGACGTCAATAGCCTTGGATTTATCATGTGCAACGCACATGAGTTGAGAACCGGTCATTTTGACCTGAAAACAGGTAAAAAAAGGTAAAGTGGCACAACTAATTGAGTATAGGTGAACTCGTGCAAAAAAAAATTGTTCAGGTGGTGATCCGCAAAAACTCAAAAAGTTTAGGTGGTTTAATGCTATTTACCCTTTTTTATTTATCTCAACGTAACTCTCCTAATTATTTTTCTACCATATAATATATATGTATTGCATTATCTTCAACAAGTTGCATGCATTCTCATCTCCATTGACTCATTTCTGTGTGCTTACTTAGCTTCTTCGAAATAGGAGAGTGGTTTCAGTTAAATCCTCTCTCTCTCTCTCTCTCTCTCTCTCTCTCTCTCTCTCTCTCTCTCTCTCTCTCTCTCTCTCTCTCTCTCTCTCTCTCTCTCGTCCAAACAAAGTAATAAATGATGACGTGTTTTAAGAAATCAGTATTTGGGAGTTGTTTGATGCTAATAGCGTTTACGTGTTGGATTAATGCAAAGAGCATCGAAGCATTTGGGACGTTCGGATTGGACATCCACCACAGATATTCCGACACCGTTAAGGAATTATTGAATGTCGATGGATTGCCGGAGAAGGGTATGGTTGACTACTACACCGCCATGGCCCACCGTGACCAGCTCCTCAAGGGCCGTCGCCTAGCCACCTCCACCACCCCGACCGTCACTTTCTTTGGTGTTAGTGGCAACCAGACTTACAACGTTAGGGCCCTTTCAAAGTATGTTTCTTTTCCTACTTTTTTTTTCTGAAATGATAAATGTCGTTTTAATTTTACTAATGTCGTTTTGACTTCGAAAGTGATTTTGACTATTTTCTATTTTGAATTTGGCAAAGTTCAAAAGACGGAAACCGTAGTCCTTTGAGATAGCTTTCCAATACAACATGAATCACCTGGATTGGATGTCGGGTGACAAAGTTATGCATGAATGAGTTACGTTTTAAATTTTACATAATTTAAAACATCAAAGTTGTGGGCAATGTTCATTAATTCATGCATAACTTTCTCAACCGACATCCAATCTTGGCGATTCAAATTAGATTAGAATGCTAACTCAAAGAATTACAAATTCCATGTTCTGAATTTTGCCAAATTCAAACTCAAAAATGGTCAAAATCTCGTTTGAAGTCAAAACGACATTATGAAAACTGAAACGGCATTTATCACCTCCCTTTTTTTTTTCCTTAGCTTAGTGTCATTGTGTTGAGAAAATAAAAATATGACACAAAGTTGTGCTTATTTACAGCTTGCATTATTCACTTATTACCGTGGGTACCCCTGGCTTTGTTCTTTCTTGTGGCACTCGACACCGGTAGTGATCTATTCTGGTTACCATGTGATTGCATCACTTGTGCGCGTAACTTCAATATTAGTGACGGAAAGGTAAGTCCATTTGTCGTTATTTAATGTTTGGTCAATGGTCAAACTATAATAACATGTGCCTCGTACGTGGTTTATGTGATTTTTTAATATATATAATTTCACATTTAATTTTACTAGAGTTGACAATTTTGAGATGTCATGTCATACTAAAACAATAAATATGGAATAAGATTCATTAAATAATAATAAAAAAAATGTGCTCACTGTTAAGTGTATATTTTTACACTTTATCGTATCTTTTTATTTGAGCTTTTGGTGTGTTTTAACGATAATTGGTGCTTAAAAAGTTGATTTATTGTATTTTAGGTACAAATTGAAGAATTGGAAAAGTATGGGGTCAAAACTGCAATTTTGGAGAAAATATGGGCCAAAAGTGAAAAAAGCAGAATTCTGGAGAACAGACCGCGCGGCCGTGCGGATTTTAGGCATAAATCTCACACGGCCGTCCGGATGGGCGAGTTGGCGCAGTGAAGGAATCTTAATTGTACAAGGAAACTGCCTTCTTCCCCAAGTTTTTCACCCTATATAAGACCAAGCCAAGCACACAATTAGGGATCCATCTTTTGACGCAATTTCAAGAGCAACAAAGCAATAACGAAGAATTCGAAGACTCCAAGCAAAGATTTATCGTCTATGATTTATTTTATTTGCGTTTTTGATTTAATTATGAGTAGCTAAACTACTTATTTCTAGGATTTTATTTGGAACCCTATGTGGGATTTATGAACCCTTTTCTATGATTTTATGCAAGTTTTAATTCCGGATTATTTCTTCTACTTGTTTTATTAAGTTCATGAAACTGGCCACTTTATGCGCTTTTATGTTATTGTTAATCGCATGAATCGGAAGATCGGGTTAATAATTAGAACTGTGGTAGAAGAGCCTTTGTGGTATTAACATAGGAATATAGTTAATCTCTTAGGTAGCCATTATTGAGATTTGTGCTTCATGCTGTGTTCTAGAATTAATTGCATAGGAATATAGTAATTGAATCTAGAGTATTAGAATCGTAATACACGCGGAAGCGGGTTATGATTATTTTAGCATCTCAGGTTAATAATCCGGGTTAATTGCTTGCATAATTGAAGGAATTGGGGGAGTAATAATCACATAGGGGGAAGAATAAAATCCTAGGCTTGTCTACTTTGATTAATCTTCGTATTTTTAATTGCTTTCTTGTTTTTGTGTTTTTAATTGTTTTAGTTTAATTTAGTTTATTAATCCTTTTTCGACTGTGTAGGGTGGGCTTGATAACAATTGGTAGAATTTAGCGTCTAGGATTAGATAATTAAATATTCCCTGTGGGTTCGATATCCGGACTTAATAGTCCACTATATTACTTGTACGATACGTGCACTTGCGTGTAGGTTTTCGACCAACAAGTTTTTGGCGCCGTTGCCGGGGATTATTTTAATTATTTATTTTATTCTAGCTCTAGATTTGAACAATTTTCACGATTCACCCATTTAATTTTCGTTTTATTTTATTTTTGTTTTAGGTACGTTGTATGCGCAGGAGACTCGATCTTGCTAGAGAACCGTTTGATCCCGAAATCGAACGAACTTTTCGAGCCGCTAGGAGACTTCAACGCGAAAATAATAGAATGGAGGACGAAGAACGCATACGTGCAGAGGGTAATTTACTCAATGCCAACGGGAACCAAGTCCAAGACCCACCCCTTCAACTTCCATTACAGCCAGCAGCTAGGCCACGGGCACTTCAAGATTACATAATCCCGACTCATGACGGATTCCGGCCGAGCATCCAATATCCACCTATTGAGGCGCACAATTTTGAGATCAAGCAAGGCCTTTTGACGATGCTCCAAAATAACGGGCTATTTAGTGGGTTGGCAGGTGAAGATCCCCATCTTCACATTGTCAATTTTCTAGATACCTGTAATTCCCACCGTCAAAACGGCGTTTCCCAAGAGGCGCTTCAATTAATTCTTTTCAAGCACTCCCTACAAGGAAGAGCTCGCCAGTGGTTGATGTCCCAAGCCCCCCACTCTATCTCGTCGTGGCCTCAACTCCTCAACCTTTTCATGAAAGTCTATAGCTCACCCGAGAAGGACGAGAGAATCCGACGAGAAATTC